CATGCACGAGCTCGCTGTGTTTAGCCATACAAAGAAAGATAATGAAATCAACGATCTTATCTCGTGTTCAATACGATTCCCTCATGTAACTGGCATTATGATCATCATCATCATCATCGTCATAATTTACATACATTACTTTTGTTACATTGTTGAAAACTCGATACAAGGATAATAGCAGACATTGTTATCGTACATTGTATAAATAACATTGAAAAATACTGCATCGATTATATATATATTTCTCTTTGAAGGGCTTATATTTGGCCCAACAAGCGATAGCTTTTAAACGGTTCTTATAACAGCATGTCTGCGTGACAGACATAGGATTTGGTGTGTTTTTTGTTTTGTTTCTCTTTTGAGTCTGGTGGATTTTGCATAAAATATGCGTACTCTTTTCTTCATATCAAAGGGGTGCTCTCGATTTTAATAAATAAAATAACCTAACACAAATTAAATTATGACTTAAAAGCAGTAATTACATTTTAAACCTATGATCAAAATTAATGCTAACTTGTTTTAGTACATGAAATGGGTTGGTTATACCACACTTTGTAACATTTTTTTTTGTTGTTTGTCACCGTTCGCCAGATTAAAATTAATTTAAATATAGAAAATTCTAGCCAATATTATCATGCTGTGTGACGAAAAAAAGGAGCTCGGTATTTGGAAACTAGTAATACAAAACAAGTAAACGGTAATGCGATTTAATTCGATAAGTAAAATGTTTTAGATTATCTTTTCGTCAAAGAATTAAAACCGACACAATCACATGTTCAAATGAAGTTCTTGCGGTGAAAAAGCAAGAAGAAATGAAATTGCCCGGTCACATGTAAACGATTGGCTTTATTTCCATTTAATGTACGATCACCGTTCATGTAAATTGGACTTAATCGTGGTAATGGATCTTCTTGTTTTTCGTTTTGTCATCTCTTTGGGGTATAAAATGATTTCGATGCAAGAGATTTCAAAAGCCAAAATGAAAAAGAAAGAAAATCAATAATAACTTCACCAATAAAGTGGATATACCATTATTGCATATGCAAAGTCAATATTTGATGCAAAAACCGTGCCGAAGAGATCTGAATGGAGATGGTCTAAGGTGAAGCGGATAACGTGACTGTACAAATTGGTGATATGAATTTTATTTGATTCCATCTTTATAACAGAACGTGATCGTTGCGCGATATTCACGATTCTTGTAATTTATTCGATGTTATTCATCGTATCTACAGCGTGTTTTCCATTTTTATGTGCTCTTGTGAGATTACCAGAGTTAATTCTTTGGCGGTGCATCAATTTCAAATACGGTGTGTTTTTTTAATGGATTGCTATTTTTTATTCGCTGCAAAAATGCACATCGATGTAAAGTGTCGAATAGATTTGCTTCGAATTTTGTTGTATTTTGTTTTTCTTTTTTCTTTTGAATACATCATGAGAATGTGAAAACGAACTTAATATTTAAGAAAATAAATGGTCGATAGATGGAATGCCGTTAATGTGACACATCAAAAGAACGATGAGATTAAAGGTTATTCAAATTTAAATTGATTACATTGGTTATCTTGGGAGTCGTGCTAAATAGTCATTTATTTCACTCAGAATATCCATAATTCCTTATTGCTTAATTGCAAATCGACCGCAACGTAGAGTGTGTGTTCAATGCAAGGTGAGTATTCATTGATGGTGCTACTACTACTTGATGTTTTACGGCCCCTCCTAAATGTTGCACATGCTATTCAACGAATCAAATGTGTGCGGCCTAAACATTCTGATTTTAAATTGGCCTGTAAATGCAATACAGCAACTTGTTAGACATTCACGCGCCCACATTTGACACTAAACACCTCATGCACGTACCATTTTCACACAAGGCATTCTTATTATTTATTTTTTTCACTTTACAATCACTCGTTTCTAACCGATATGTGTGTACGTGTGTATGTCATTTTTCCACTTATTCGAACATTTATTTCGTCTGTTTAACGAAGTAAATAAAATTAATTATAATTTGTAAAACGAAAATTCGGTGCACGAGACACACTCACACATGTAAACGATAAGAAATTGAAAATGCCTTATGCTACAATGGAAACAATTTTGTTTTTGTGCACGATATCGAGAGATGCTGATTGGTGCTTTGTGACAAATCAACAACAGCATATCACATATAAATATACATACGCAACTGAGTAACAATATTAAATTGTGCGAACATTAACGAAAAGATTATTATGTATAACTAGGCCAAGGAGCTTAATATTGCTTTCAAGCAATCGTATGTACGTATATACCACGATACATAATAATCATACACATCCATATGAAATGAGAGAAGAAAAAAGCGACGACAAAGACGACGACGTCAAGCAGTAACAATCAATTCATGCGTTTCACCGCTCTTTTTTCCCTCTATCTTGTAATCTTCCATTGAAAGAGACGAACGCATTGTGTGCGAAAAAACGTACTACGATATCGAAGCATATTTAATCATCAAGCATCATTAGCACATATTCCCATTTATTGAATTCCTTTTTTTCGCTTTCTCACTCTCTGTCGCTATTTCTGTCTCCCATTCGCTTGAATTCTTTTATTTTAAGCGGCCGTAGAATTTCACGTGCAGGATTTTAGCGAATGTTCATTACATTTCATTTGTAACATGAAAATAAAATGCAATCAATGTGAAAAATGATCTCATAAAACGTTTTTTTTTTTTTTTTGTGGTCACCATTCACTGAAGCCCAAATTTCTGACAATCGTAACCGAAAATAGTCATAAATGACAATAATTAAAAGTAAAGCGCGTTATTTTTAAACCATTACAATCGTTACATGCGGCGCACCAATTTCACGATGCATATATACAATCCAATAATAAACATGTTATGTTTATTTCGATGCTGTTTTATTTTTGTTCGCTTCATAATGATGTTTTGATGACGAATTATGTTTATGAATTCAAACAGGTGTTGTGAGACCTTTTGTCATGTGCATATTACATTTCATGCTATTCATTCAAAGAATAATTACCGAAAAAAACACACACACACCAAGCGATAAACAATGAACCGCATATCAATGGAGAACAACTGAATATAATCGAAGTGACAAAGCTTGTCTGGGGCCGCTGAGTAATTGAATGATTGGTAATGAAAAAAGAAAACGGTGGCGTAGACGGTGGACAGTGGGCGAAAATCAGTGTCTAATTATGAATGTTGTTTATGACGGGTCAAATTATGATGACGCGTTTACCATATGTACAATAATGAGTTGGGCGAGATTGTCTGTGATTTTGTATCAATGCTAAATCGCAACGATGGCAGATCATTTCCGTTTTTACTGTATTTCTCTTGCTCTCTCATTTGCTCCGTTTGTTTTCTATTCAGTTCAACTGATCGATCAGTTGTGTCGTATAAATCAACGGCAAAATGAGATCAATTACAAGAATGATGCAAAAAAAAACACAGCCACAAATTGATACGCATGTTTTCTTCTTAAGACTCATTCATCATGATGGTGATTTAGTAGTTAAAACGGCTGTATTTATTTCTGACTGTTTCACCGAAAAATGGCCGTAGGCATAATATAGAATGCGTAACATTTTGCATCCAGTAGTTTTTCTTGAAGAATGCCATGCAGTGTATATCATGACTGAAAAACAAGCACTTGCACACACACACACATATATACATGAAGACAACGAAATTAATTATAAGGTGCGGTTGAGAATGGAGATTTCTATCTCTATCTAAAATAAACACCACATCAATCATTGGTAAATCAAGTGAAAATTTCTTCTTTTTTTTTTAAAAAAACTTATTCATTTTTTCCATGCAAATTTCTTGTAAGTATAGAGATATGGAATGCGTGCATGTGATCATTATCATCAAGTCGTTCATTCATTTATTATCCGCTATTTTCACTCGTCATATGAGATGCAAATATATAGATCACCTGATCGGCCATTTTTGCACCATTTGAAATGTTGAAGCACAGAAAATAACAATTATGATGGAATGAACCACACATGCACACCATGTATAGCATCGGTTTTTTTTCTCTTCTCTTTCTTCGTTTAATTGAAATAACCAAATAGAAAATGTTTGAACTTTCAAGGGTAAATTTAAACCACTGTTTTTGATACTATTGAAAAATGTTTGTAACCTTTAAAGCAAGCCGCTCTCGCTTCATTCAAATCAGTTGATGGAGTTCTTTGAATTTCAGTTCAAATTGTTACTTACACAACATAAACTAAAATCAAGGATTTTCTTAATTACCATGAACATAACATCATTACCTATGGTCTGATTGTATTTGAAAAAAAAAAAAAAACCAAAATGGATCGTAGAGCAAGTTGGTAAAACAATCGCACAAACATACAAGAACGATGACAAGCCGATATTTGGCATCTTGATGCTATCAATGAGGAAACGTGTCATGCGAATGTGTCGATTCCAATTTGTCTACAGATCAAAACGTAATTAATCTTTTTTCATTGAATGTATGCTTGCACATGCCAAATTAAATCTACAGAAAAAATCAATTCAACATAATGTCAAAATCGGCGTCATAAAATCAATTCGGTACATTGGATTTCTCTTTCAAGCGGCAACAACTGGTGATTAAGGCCAGATTTGAAAAAAAAACCAGGAACTATTTCATCCTGAACAATTTGGCTTTAAAAGCGAAAATATTCAATAAATGCCATTGACATCCGTTTAGACATCCAAAAATGTGTCTTTTTTTCTTCTTTTTTTGTACTTAATCAAAAGTTTGGTTTTTGCACATACTTCACACTCTCTATTTGGAAGTTTTGAATATAAAGAATTGGATTAGCAGAAATTGAAGTCGGTTCTATTCTTAATTAACAGTGCAGGTTATTAATCACTCCGTTGGTTACTGATTTAATATCAAGAATAGAACATTCAATTATAAATTCATAGCACACCCATATGAACTCTATTTGAGCAAATAAAATAATATTTAGAGCGATGTACAAACCTCTTCTAAAAATATTCGTTTGAATCCTTCAAGTGTGTGTTTATCTTCACCTAATCGAGCACTACACTCTGATATTAAAAGCCATCGCATTTTTTCACGTCTCACTTCAAGTTCCATAACACTACATTCACCGTTGTCATCGTTTAAATATCCTTCTTTTAACGCTTTGAACACTTCGTTGGCTTTATTTTTGTCGGCTACATTTAAGAAAATGGAAGAAAGAATAAGACAATCGAATTAGTAATTAAAATAAATGCACATGCACACACAAACACACACACACACACACTGTCATCAAATTGCGAATTGAATAATTACTTTTTATGCTGCTCGTTGACATTTTTCGTTCACTTTCTAAGAATGTATCGATTGGAGTCGCTGTCACTTCACTTTCAGTTGTGATTTGTGTGGTGGCCGATCCGGTGCCGGCTTTCAAGATCGATTGTCCGATATTCATGTCAAATGATCGTTCCGAGTGCATTGATACTTTTCGACTGTTTGGAAACATATCAGCCTTTGTCAATTCGTTCAACGTTTGTGTAGAAATTGTTGAGGACGGTGATGAATAATGATCGGTATCATCTGTTTCGTCATCAAAATCGATGTTATTGTCATCGTGGTCGTCGTCGTCGCTGTTATGCTCATTGGCCTTACTATCCATAATTGCATTTAATTTCGAATGTAATAGATCATTGTTTGTTTGATTCTCACTATCCATGAATGCCGTCATTTGCATGGTGGCCAATGGTAGCTCGTCGGAAAATGATACCTTTTTCGGTGTTCGAATTGAGGCTGTATCGGAAGTTGTGCTAAATTTTCGATTTGTTGAACATTGGCTAAGTTTGCGTGATGGCTTGATCGGTGACGATTCAAGTGTTTCGCTTGCTTTTCGCGACGATGGCATCGAATCACCTGAATAATCGCTATATTTTCGTGGCGGCCGCAATGGTTGCGTCGAATCCGAGCATTCATTTGATTTTGGATCACATGTTATGGCATAATGATCGACAATATCAACGGCTCCTTGCACTTTACAATCATTGTCATCCGATTTTTTGATAATTGTTTCATCGCATTGCTGTGGTTTCGTTGCTGTTGTCGTTGTTCCCGTTTTTGTTTCAGACGCTTCAATATTTTCCATATTGACAATTATATAATAACACTATTTAAAATGTAAATCGAATCTTTTATTCAATCGTTGTCGTCGTTAATTAAAATTTAACAAAAAAAACACTTTGTTTTGGGGCACGATTCTTTATTTTCTTCCGAGACACACACAACTCTTCAAAATCATTAAAACAGAACGAAAATTTCAAACTTTGCCACTTTAACAGTATTGACAAATAAAAATAAAAACGTTTCTATGAACTCATAATTCTACTCTAACATAAGAAAAATGCGGAATTCTATGCGAATTTATCACAAAGTAAAAAAAAAAAAACAAAATATACACAAGTTGTTTATCAAAACATGATGCTCTGCAAATAAATTCGAATTATGTTTTCTTGTGTGTCAAACACAATAACAATTTAAGGTAAACTCAATATTCGAATTTTGGATAATTATTGACAGCGTGAAAATGTTCACGTTTGTTTCGTTTGCTGCTTATTCTGATAACCGTTTGCACAACGGATTTAAAAAAAAATGGAAAGTTACACGACCGAATACTAAAGTATACTGATGAGGTTGGCCACATTCGATGTTGGCTTCAGGCATGTAGACTGACTTACGTACGCGCCCTGCTGCCGACGCATTGATCTATGCTGTTCGCTTTTTGTTGTTGTTGTTTGCTCTGATCGAACGCAAACTAGAGACAGATTTTTTTTTTCTTCTCCAACGTTGTTTTCGTTGACGGTTGTTGTTGTTGTCATTCGCTTTGCTCTGCTATGCTTTTGTGTATATGTAGTATGTTTTAACTTGTTGCTGTTTATTTATTTAGTTTTTGTTGCTTACGCTCAACGCGTGTATATATTGTTGTCGATATTATTTTTGCCCGTTCAGCATCGCATATTAACATAAAATCATTTTCGTTGAAATAAGCCATTTCGCGAGTTGTTAACCTTTTGTAATTATTATTGACCGATTCTAATTCTGAAAATTCCACCATCACGGCTTTAATGGGAACCAATGATAAGAGATATGGAGAACAAAACCAAGTCAAGAAAAAAGCCAAGAATTCCGCCAGTACAATATCCTTTGACATTTGGATGATGTTTTTTTTAAAATAAAAACAAACACACAATTATAAGGCACGCTTGGATTTTCGCGATTTTATCGATTCTCTATTAAAAGATCGATTGAATAATTGAATGTCGTTAAAGTGATATAACATTAATGTGCAGGACACTTATGGCAAATGAGCACATTGAAAGTCAACAAAGCTAAAATACACTCACCGGACACTTGGTAAAAATGTTTAACATCGACATTTACCTTTTACTCTCTCACGCACATGTCGATAGAAGAAAAAAAAATGTGCCTATGCTTGAAACAAATGCTTGTTGTTTTTCTTCTTATTTTTCTTGGTTATTACACTCTCTCTCCATCTCCCTTCTGTTTTCATTTCGGAAATCGAATTGCATTTGGGATTTTGATTAGTCAAGTGATCAATTCATTAGTTTCAAAGTGTATGTTCACCTTGCCTCTTGATGATTTCATTGAATTTACGTTATTCGCATGTCGAATCCAATACTATACATAAAAATGACACTTGAAGCCGATCAATCAAAACTCTATTGAAAACTTTATTGTATTTTCAAAAAGCGATTACTAATTCAAATGTTTGATCAGCCATTTCTTAAATCATATACCAATACATACACTAATTTTATACGTTAACATTCAAATTGATTTGATTGCTTTTGTTTCAATTTTGCATAAGCTATCTCATATTGGAGCCGCAACATTCTAATGATTGGGATGCAAACAATAAAAATATTCGCTTGTATTGTATACCATTTACCTTGTGTCGAAGTGATAGTAGGTGCACCATTGTTTTAGCGATTAAGATCCAACCAGCAATTATATTCGCTCAAGATCCGTTTTTGCATTGTAATTTTGCATTTCATTGAACTTGAATTACCGTGGCTAATGTGCGGCGCACAAGATGCTAATCAAATGTGTGTGGTATATATGAAAATTCGTGCAATTAAATTCATGTGTATATGGTTTGTTCTTTTTTTTTACTCAATCGAAAAAATTGACGTCACTTCTTTATTGAAAACTGGCTATCAATACCACTGTTTTTTGCTTAATTAATTTTCGGAACATGATTTTTTTTTCTTCAACAACGATCGATTTGCGCTTTACCTTGATATTGAGCTCTTACTTTTATTGGTGACTCATTTGTCGTACGGTTATTGTCTTTCATTTCAAATGAACCCGGACTAACGATCCATTATCTGCGAAAAATTACAGACCATCATGCAATAAATGTCAACTGTCTGAATTGTTGTCACTATTCATTGTCGGACAATATTTAAATCAAACCAGTCATTAAAAAAAAATCAAAGAAGAGTTTTCAATTCGAAAGTCTTATGAAATAATTTGCATTTTTTATTATAACATCCATAATATTACTAGTTCAGTTTTAGACGATTGGAGCGATTAGAGAAAAAAAAACTGGTTATATCGAAAGTGAAACATCCGATTTGATTGTATACTCGGTATGATGATGGCTGGCATGTTTTATATGAAACAAAAAATCGCAAACCAACTTAACAGCAACAAAAAAACATTGGAGCCATTCGATTTGGTGACGGACGTTAAATAACGAGAATTGTGATAAGATTTTGGCAAGATTCTTTGTTCGAGAATATTTATTTTTAAAAAAAACGGGAAATACACCTTTTTTTTATACATTTTGGTAGATGATATCGGATGCACAAAAATAAACGGTCGTAAAATATTTTATACAAATTTTGAATTATCTGTTAAAATTCGAGAAAAAAAATTCCTCGCAAAGTTCATATTTGTAGCGAATTTCATTGGCAAACACCAAAAGTTAACTTCCATGAGAATGATAGGAGAATGAAAAAAGTATGTCTGCTTAATTACAAATTGTTTAATAAAATTGTTTTAGACAGGTGATGGTGCAATCAAATAATCGAGGAGATAAAAAGTGAAACGCTGAAAATGGCACGTTCTGATGTCTCATTTCATACATCTTCATTAAATGCAAGCAATATATGATGCAGATGATTTTTATCAAAGTGAGCACACGCATTCCAACTGCATCAATAATAAAACACGGTATGCAATGACGATGACAGTGGCGACAATTTTGCAATCCACTCATAATTGCTCATATTAATTTATAATTTCGTTATCAATGCGAGCATTTATTTCTTGAATTGCATTTATGCGCTCTGTGACACTGTGAACGAGAATCAATTTCATGATTGTTTGTTGTAGTGACCCCCCTTTCTTTCTCCGTTTTTTTTTCTTCTCTTCTTCATTTGATACGCGTCTTCTCACTTGCAATCAATTTCATATAAGATTTTAAATGCGATTAAATGGATTTGTGCGGTACGTGTAATGCAATTTAATTAAATCATTTATTTGTAACGTTTCCATAAAAATAATTTCTAAACAAACGTTCTGGTTTTGTTGTTTTGTTCACTTTAAATTCACTTAATTACGATATCAATCGATGTTCGAGAACACCGTCGCAATGCGACAATCAAATGTGTGTGTACACACACGCACACATGACAATCATCGTTGTTTTGAAGATAGAGAGAAAAAAAAGAAATGGAATGGCAAATAAGATGTTACCATAAAAACTAAAACAACCTAATTAAAATGTGTGTATGAACGAATACGTGCACACAGGAACACACAAAATAGCTGATGCATTCGGTTAACAAATCAATAAAAATCAATCGGCAAAACCAACACCCATCGTATCGAACGGTAACTTTCCCGTTTCTCTAGTTCTCTGCAATATCTCGCAATGTTTTGTATATGCGTGCAATAGTTGGATCGTAAAGTAATCCCAATTACTAATTTATGGAGTGAACCGACTTCTTCTTTTCCATTAATTCGTTGTTAATGTTTGTAATTGGCCGACAAATCTAAAATAACACAAGAATTCTATATGCAATGCATTTTTCTTCGACATTTTTTATTTCTTGTGAAATAAATAAATTGTAAAATCTTGATGTGCAATGAAATTTCAAATTAGAAAAAAAAACAAACACCGTATTTATGACTGTCGTTGTCTTTCTGCTACAATATCAAAATAATGGATTTCTTGTTCTATATATCTCTTGCTTTTTGTTTAGTTCACCGAGAGTATTCATTTGATGATCGCAATATACAACATTTTATTTTTCAGAACAGAACTTGTTCTACGAATAAAAAAAAGGAAAAAAGTTAAAGAAGAAATTAAGAATTGAACTTGTGGCAGACTTGTTTCAACGATACCTTTTGGCATAGAAATTTCGTGAGTTTGAAATCAAACGTCAAAAAGTAGATCCTGTTTCAATTTTGCAACAAATTGTCACAATAAATTGTTCAGATACCGTGATTTTTTTTTATTCTTCTTTCATTTATTCATCAAGTATATATCTCCAACTGTGGCATAAAAACTGGCGATGATAATAAAATTGAACGAAATGCACCTAACTGCTTTTCGAAGACGAAAGCAACCAAGAGATGCAAAGAGAGTTACAAAGGGAAAGGAGAGCGAAGGCTTCATGATAAACTAGCGCTATTTTTCTTCTTGTCAGACAGTGGCGACGTCCAACGATGTTAAATTGTTGAACTCGATTCGCTTAATATGGTGCCATCAATTCAAATTATTTATTGTGTTATGTTATAATCATCCTTTTCCACCTTTTCACCGAGCGCGCAATCGCAAATCATTGAATAAATAACTATAAATAAGCCGGAATAATAGCAATAATGGCAATTTTACAATTTATACGAATATTGCACGTGGAGAAGAATGAATCTATTTCTTTTTCCCCATTTTTTTTTCTCTTCTAAATTATGGTAATTACACACTTATATCGCTAGTATTAATTTTTAGCACTTTGGGATTTTTAAATATAATTAATCCAAAAGGATTAATAGTTAGTCCCAAGGGATTAAAATATTATTTTATAATTATAAATATATTTTTATTTTAAAATTCATGCACATTCTCTAGCCAGCATCAAAAACATCATCTTATACTATTCTCTCAACTTCATATGAAAGAATACCAACAATTGTTTGATTACACTGAAACGTCATCTATATGAGAGTCAACTACTACACACGTATCACTTTTACTGGCGTTCAACGACTGACTCGCCAGTAGACGTGATGCGTGTGTAGTAGTTTACTTTCATATAGTTGCCGTTTGATTGTTGCCATACAATTGTTGTTATTCTTTCGTATGAAGTGAGAGAA